AGCACTAATGCTGAAAGAGCCCAGTGGCCTTTCCACCACAAGGCAGCATTCCCATTGTAACTTAGACTCTGGCACATCCTGCTTTGGCCAGCTTTTTAACATGCATTAAGTGTCACAAAGGGCTGGAAATTATTTTTTGGTTGTTGTTTTGAGAATAAAGAGAAAAAAAGGTCAAAAGAAAAAGAATCTTGCAAGTAGGACTAAGGGTGTACTTCTAGCAATTTCAGGGGGCTTTTCAACCAGCAACTCCTTACTAGCAAGCGTTACTCACGTAAAAGGTGAGGTAACCAGGACAGCTTTGTAGACCAGGTCTGCCCTGCCTTGGCCAACTCTCCAACAGAAGGTAAATTTGAACTGCAGTATCTTCCCCTGAGGGAGGGACGCTCACTCCCTCCACAGCATGCAACCTTCCTCACCCGTTAAAAAGAGGGCCTCAACTTTGCACATCAGAAATACTTTTGCAGAGGAGAGGTATGCCTGGTCAGGAGCCCTAAGCAGTCGGATGAGGCTGCCAGCTCAAAGTAAAAGGTTGACAATTGCTACTCTTTGTTTTTCCTTTGCTCTACCTTCTTCATCCACTCTGCTTCTCACAGTTTTCTTGAGTATTGGCTTTAAACTCTTAAGATCAGACTGTGCCCATTTTAACTCTGAAATAGTGCCTACAGCATGTTTTAGGTACTACATGTAATTTTAGAAAATTATCTCAAATCTGTACGAGTGAATTGAGGTAATATTTTGTGCCAAAACAGTAAGAGCGAAAATTCTTGAAAACGCTAAGGGGCTTGTCTGAATGGGGTAACAGACAGGGTTTTTTTCCCCCGGTCTTCCATCTGGAAGCTTGCAGAAAGATAGCAGAGTCCAATGTGAGGTTTGCAGGAGGTACAGTGCAGCAGCCTTGCTGCTGCCAGCTTTTCCCCACAAGGCACCTTTGCCCATAGATGAACCACAGCAGCAAAAGGCACTTCATTATCGCTGCAACGAAGAGAAGGCAGGGAGAGTTTTAAACAACCTGCATTGTGCCCGTCTTCTTTAAAAACCAGTGGGGTAATCAAGTTCAGGGCAGCCCTGGACAGCTGCCCTGTGACCTATTCATGTTGACCCCCACTATTCATCACTTTCCTTAGGACTGTGAGGGCAAGCTCCCGGGGAGTGACCACCACAATAGACACATACGAGCCAACAATAATATGGTGCCTGAAAAAAAAAACCAACAAAAAAAACCCCAGATGGCACTGCAATAAATTTACAAATCTGCATTCATGGCTCTGTTAAAAACACCCAGAAGCTAAAAGGCTGGAGGGGCCCCCAGAGAGCTTCCCCTTCTCAGTTTCTAAAGCCCGTCTCTCTACCCAAGACTATTGAGCTCATGTTCTTCATAAATGAAAGATGGAGACATAGCCCTTAAAATAACAAATGTCTGACCTAATCAATCTAGTGTTTGGGTCTAACGCTAAATGATAGGCACTGAAAACTAATTATGTTTTCTGGCAAGGAAGTTGAATTAAAATGGAAACACACAGGTTAAAAAGGCACTGAAGCATTTGCGAGTCCCTTTGAAAGGGCGGCACACACACACACACACACACACACACACACACACACACACACACACACGCGTGCTCACACGCAGGGCTTGAAACAGGAACCTGATTCAATAACTCATGCATTTATTTTTAAAATGAATCAGATTAGTCCCATGTGTGACCTGCTGGTCCATCTGTATGAGCTGGACTTAATGGGCACTCTTCTCACGCTTACTTCAGTTTGAAGTATGAGAGAGATAAATTTAGTTTAATTTTCAACAGATCAAGCTATCCATTTTCCAAATGGACCATCTGGATCAGCCTATTAAAATTAATTTATAACTTTGCAGTGTGAAAATTCGTTTGTTAGCTTAAATAAAGTTGCCAAAAACTTTTGCCACTTGTCATTGTTTTTTTCCAGTGTGTTTTCATACTATGATTTTCAGTTTACCCCTTCAAAATTTAAATTTGTCAGATCAAGCACTCAGTAAGAACTGAACATTTGCATCCATATTCCAAAGTCTGCTGTAACTTAGATCTTTTCACTGTTCCAGATAACAGTGTCAAGTTCATTGCCCTTTTCTGTTTCCCAGTGCTAATATCCATGTCTCTTCTGCCTTGCTGCCCCCTCATGCATCCAACAGTGGCTGTGCCTTCCACTTTCAGCAATCCAAGGACACACTCCACTTGTTGAGACTTCTGAAGACATCTTCTCTAAAAAACATTTTGATCAATAGCAAAATTATATTTCTCATAGTAAGAGTTCCATAGCACTGAGCAGTGGGTGTCTTCAGCCCCTGCATACAACTTCAGATGCTTAAGTAACCACTACACCTCATTATCTCCACCTTCTGATATGTCTGTTCCACAAACCCACTGGAGAAAACATTTATGGCTAAGGCTGCATAACACCACTGCAGACAAGGTAAGAAAAGGAAATGCACCTTTACTTAAACTTGTTATCAGGGGAACATGTCAAGGCATCATACTTCCCCTGAAGTGGTCTAATCCATCTCATTCATTTTCTAAGACTAATCAAAAAGTACTAAATATGTGGATACTTTCTCTGGAAAGACCATTTAAGTAAACAGACTTCTCTTCGACCCACATACTCAATTCCTTTGTGCATGTAGGTCCATGTTCCCCAAAAATGAAATACTAAGGGAGTCTTAAAGGAGGAACAGAAAAGATGAAACTATACTCAATATTTACCAAGTTAGCATCTTTCCACTAAGGTGGAAAGCATGTTTTTTGTATTACTGCTTTGACAGCATTTGCTGGTCAGATCTTTTTGGTTCTACAAAGTAGAGATAGATTTAAAGCAGAGTAGTCACTCTGCATACCTTCCTGTAGGAATCACTCTGATTATGAGAGTTTGGGCACACGGCTTCATATGTGCCTGATTTCTAGAGCAAGAGTTAGAAAGCTCCCCACTGCTTCTGTCCACTGCTAATAGAGAAGAGGAACAATCTGAGCTTTCAAAATGCTCAGACAGCTTTATTTATGCTATGTAAAGAACCAAAAATTTCTTCTCCAACAGGCACAAAATTGTGGACAATCACCTCCTATAATATAGACAAGAGGGTACCTGCTTTAAGACTAAGACTACATCTTGAACTTATCTACAAAGACTGTTCTCAACACAAAAGGTCCCAGATAGCAATCAGAAGATCCAAGGATTTTGTCCTGCATCTGTTACTGTAAAGACTGGAAACAAAGATGGAGACTAATACAATATCTCAATATTGTGAAACACAGCTAACCATCTTCAACATAAAGCATGTCCACATAAATTAGTTCCAATATGAAATACTGGGACGCTACAAGTAGTTTTTAGGTGTATTCCCAATATCTAGTCACCTTGTTTACGATGAATTGTGGTCCTGTGGGCAAAGACAACTTTCCCTGGACACCAAGAAAACTTCTGCAGATTGCAAAATAATGGAAGGGAAATCCAACTCAAGAAACTGTACCTTTCTCATCTGTATAATACAGCTTGTGAATATCTGTCTCCTCAATCAATAATCATGAGGAAGGACTCAGTGCAAAAAGAAGACACACAAAACAAATAATTCAGGTTCCTTTTGAATTAACACCTCTTACTATGAATCTTTTCCTGCTGAAACTGAGGATTTGCCATCAATAATATAACCCAAAGATGAAAAAAACCCTGATTTTCTGTTATGCTGGGAACCTTGTTGGTTATCCTGGGAATACACAATAAGGACCTAGTAGCTCTCCCCTCTTCCTCCACCTGTCATTTGTTGTTGAATGCCATAAACATTTTAAGTTTCATTCTGCAAGGTAATCTTTCTCAGCTATATATGGGACCTCAGTTATTGTGCCAGCATATTGCCTCTTGTCTGAAAGACTTACATGGACTACATCTGTTAGATGGACCTGTCGTAGCCACACGTAGTCCATGGCACCTACTCCCACAAAATCGAACACTCCTAACACAATACATTATTAAAAAAGAAAACAAAACAAACCCATCCAAACCCAACAACTCTGAGCATGAGCACGCTATATCAAAAGGATACTTCTTCCTTTACTATGGTTCTGACCCACAACTTCTCTTTGAAACAGCAGATGTGGGGCAGTACAGTACCACCCTACTCCTCTGCCTGAGACTGCTGCTCCTGTGGCTGAGATGCAGAAGGAAATGTGACAACTCCTCAGCTGTTGGAATGTATGGCCTGGGGTAGTCATTTAAGTCACATTCACCAATGATTTTATTTTGATACACCAGGCAGGAACCTCAGACAGCTAAGGCGTGGACATGATTTTGTTTCTGCTGCCTGAAGTTTGCAGTGGGGAGAAAGAGCAAGGTGAAAATGGATCAGAAATCACTAAATCCAACTTAAATTCCCCGGAAAGCATATACCATACTCCCTTTGTTGGCCATGGGGATTAAAAAAAGGGTTTCTTTTGAATTGATAAGAAATTTTCTTTACCATATATAACATGCAAAGAGATGTTTTATTAGACCATCCTTTCTCCTTTTTACCTATTAGTCATTTATATGAAAGTAAAAGAAACAAGAACAGGTCATTTTTCAGGTTATTAACCTGGATATCACCTCCAAGAAAATTTACTTTCAAGGGCAATAAAAAGCTTAATTGTTGTAGAACATTTTGAGGCTTTTAATCTGAGGCAAGGCAAAATATACTATAAACAAGACAGGAATGATTACAGAAGAAAAGGCTGAAGAGGTCTTGATGAACACCAAACAGAGAGTCACAGCTGACTGAACTACACTGCAGTATATATATTTCTTCGTAAAAAGTCATCAAACTCCCCTGAAAGCTAAATCTCTGTGTCTGATTTTCCTGGGTACAATGTGACTTGTTTAGACTTCAAAGAAGAAAAAAAAGGATTTCCATGAGCACAAGCCAGACTTCAGCTTCCAGGAGCATTTAAGGATTCAAATACCTAGAAAGTTTTATTGCATTTTTAAAGAGACTGATCACATACCTGTCTAAGTGAATTCTTCTCAGGAATGATCTTCCTAGGGGGCTCATCATTATTACAGTCTTCTCTCTCAGAGGAATTCTGTGAAAGAAAGTAAGCTTTAATTCAGTTCTTATCCCTAATATTACTCTGCAAGGAGAAAAGAAACAAAACATTTTTACTACACAGGCTGTAGTATTTTACACATTCGCATACCGGAGGCTAACTTCTACTTTTATGCCAAACAGCTTGTTATGGCAGAGAAAGAATTTCTCCTCCTCAATACAGAAACACACCACTGTGCAGGTATCTGTTGAAGAAGCCTGTGCTTTAGGGATTTACTCTTAAACTTCTAATAACAGCTACTTTGAAAAGCTGAAACGACGGCTGAATCAGCATGGCAACACCAGTGCTCCTCAGCACCCCAGAATAATGACTTAAAACAGTGGACCCTGTTGAAAGCAAAAGGTTGTTAGTGGGTGCAGCTTTGTTCTCTGTGCCCCATGTTTTTAATCTGCCCAACCATTATTAATTGCAGTGAGTCTGCCTGGTTGCCAAAAATCATAGAGAAATCATGATAGAGCTAAATTATTGTAAAAGAGGTTGTCAGGAGATCCTTCAAAAAAAAACCCAAATATGGTGTAGGTAGTGTATGATAATACAGCTATGGTTTTCACTCCTGCCCTCTGACTCTACATACATTTACAACTTCTAGAAATACTGATGCTCCAAAATGTAAGCTGACACCTCCAAAAAAAGAACATCAGTAAGACAGGAGACAGTGGACAAGAAATACAAGGGGTTTTCCAGCATGAGTAAGGAACATAGCCAGGAAACTTATGCCCTGCTAACATCATGATTAAAACCAATTATCACTTGGTTTAGAGTAAAGACAAACTACAGTTATCTTAGGATGTGCACAGTCGGTTGCAAAGGTTTGGTTAACAACTGTTGGATAGGTGGGGAGAATCCCGACCTTACTGCCAAAGTCAGCTACTCTGGAAGACAACATTCCTTTGCACAGGTTCAGCCACTGCATTGACAGAGTAATGACAGCCAGCTTTGGGGGAATCCCACACACACATCTAAAATCAGTTTGATCACCACAGTATTCATAGCCTCAGGCCACATTCCCATGCATTCAGCAGTGAGAAACTAAACAGGTTTTAGAGAGATACAGAAAAACTGCCTAGGGAAAGCTCTGCCAGGAAAAGGGTGGTTTTCCAGTTACTTGCAGACAAGCTCAGGAGTGTGCTTATTATGGCAGAAGTTTGCATTCTGTACCTGTCCCCCAAATAACCTGTCCTTCGCTGAGCACGGCTCTGCCTGGCTTCTCACAGAGACAGCTTCCAGCCCAGCACCTCAGGAGACAGAAGTGGCATCTGTTGGCAAAGGAGGAGCTGGGCCCTGCGAACAGCCAGCGTGGCAGTGCAGGGCCAGCAGCGAGCACACAGGCTGCAGGAAGCCATCAGCAGAGCAGAGCACCGCGTGCCCACTGCAGAGCTGCGTGATCAGGCACCCTCTGGGCAGCACAGGCCACTGGTCTGGGGAAGGGGAAGGAAAGGTGCAGCCAGGACACAGGGCAGGAGTAGAAGCTGTTTGCTGAGAAATGGTAGATAAGGGGTGGGGGGAGAGGAACACAACAATAAAACCCCACTTGGGATGTCATAAACTGGTCAGGAGTAAATCAAGGTTTGCAGACCTACTAGTGATTTCGAATTATTTTTTTTTTTAAAACAAGATATAGAACTCACAAGGCACCATGTCATGCGGGATGCTGTAACCAGGGTTTTATAATGGAAATCAATCCTAAACAGGCCTGACAAATTGCTGTAAGAGGTCAGCTTTTAAAAGTTTTCGTATGAGATCTCAGTCAGGACCAAGCTATTACATTAAATCTAGCTTAGAAAGGACTGTGATTGTAAAACCATAGAAGTTAGAATCACATACATAAAAAAAGGAAGGTCAGACATTAAAGCTGTTCTTTTCTGCTCATGAAATTCAGTTTCATAAGTGGTTAATTGAAGTTAGTATTTTAATTTTTGTGCTTTGGAAAGAAAAGACCAAGAGTGGAAAACATGAGAACCTGAGGTGAGTTACTATACATTTCCAGGAAATACATTTTGTTGTGTTGGGGAGCTGAAGGGGTTGTTTACTACGTCTGGGTGCGTTTTCAACACTCACCCGCTTCCCTACAAAAACTGCCAGAACAATTTCCGCTTCCAAATAATCTCTCTACGACAGTGAAATCTTGCCTTTCAAAACCACTAAGGATCCTCCCTCAGAAAACATCAAAAAGCAGGAACTGCTGGTGAACTGTCAGCCCTTATTTTGAAATTCCTAGTTACTGCAAAGCATCAAGTTACCTACTTTTTCTTTAAGCTGAGCATCTAATTTTAAGAGCAAGCAGAGGACCATTTTGCATTCATTATCTTTATAGGTGGCAAGGCTAAGAGGTTGGCTGAACAAAGACCAGACAAAGACTGCCAAGTGCATATGGTGGTTCACAGCTTGGCGTCTCACCATTCTACAGCACCAACACAGCAGCTCCGATAGCAGACTATTAAAGAGGAGCGCTGCTCATGCACTTTTGTCGGCAAGTAAGTTACGCTTGGTGAAGACAGAATGACTGGAAAGCATTACACTTAAGAAAAAGCACAGATGTTTATAACTCCCGCTCATTTCTCAGGAATAGGAAACCTATCAATCCAGGTGCAGGTACAGGACCCCGCATATTTCAGGACTAACTGTAGCTGCATGGAAGTGAATTTCACTTGACAGGGCAACATTTAGCCATGGCCATGGGAAGAGCATAACGTAATCGACTGAAACGGTACATCTATATATTTCTCCTTGCTGAACAAGGTGGGAGGAGGGATAAACATGTGCGAGGTCAGAATAAGGTTTGCTTCAGCAGGACTTCAGCGATGCTCTTGGCCACAGGAGAGGCAGACAAAGGGAGGAACCGCTCTGAGCACCCTCTCGTGGTTACTGAAACGCATGTCCCGGGCACAGACCTGGAAAGAAGCATTTGGTATCCAGACGGTAAGTTGGGTGTACTCACTGGGAATATTAAAGATCTGTGGTGACTGTACTTGATACGTAGTAGGTGAGTGAAAGCTGAAAAGCCATTCAAACTCCCTTCCATCAGGGAAGATTTTTAAATCCCGCAGGCAAGCCTTTCTCCATAGACGAAAGCCAGGCTGGCCAAAAGTGTGCTTACATGCAGGGGTCTCTCCTTTTGAACAAATACAGGCAAGATAAGATGCTGAAGTCTCCAAAGCATCCCCTCTTTCCACAGACAGGTAAAATAATTTTTTTTATTTGCCCAAGGTCACACAATGACAGTGGAAGCACTGAGAAGAGAAGCCAGGAAACTCAAGCTCATAGTTCTCGTAATCTTCAAAATTTCTTTCTAGCAGGAGATTCCTGCAAAGGGGCTCTGCCTTCCATTGCTCATTTTTCCTAAAATGGCTACTGCCTGTAATGAGATCCTTTTAAATCTGATTTGCATTTAAAACTTCAGCCTGTAATTAACAGAATATAACTCCATGGCAGGTTGTCTTAAAGACCACTACAAAATTATTACTATTTAACTCTCCCCATGAAGCGTCCTCCACCACTAAACACAACATGCTACAATGCATACAAAATCCCCAGACTGAAGCATTTGATGGGAGATGACATGCAGTATTTTGTGTACACAGCCCAGCAAAACACTGCTGGGAATGAGATATAATACACAGAGAAATGCACTCCCAGGGACTACCAATTGGGTAGAGCTACCTTTAGTACCGCCTCGCTCGTCGTGGTGGAAATCAAACCCCTGCCAACTGGGGGAGGCTTTCTTTGATGCTGTTCTGCCCTGCACTAATTATAAAAGAGTACAGACGCAGCCTTTCTTCCAAGTCTGTGGAGGTGGGGGTGGGGGAGAAGCGTGTGCCTATGCGAAGAGCACAACTATTTTTTATGCTTTCAAATTCTTAATCCTGTTTGGAGCTGTCAGTGGGGGTTAATGGAAGCCTTGGATAGGAGAATTCCAATCTGGTTGGCAGATGGATAGGTTGGTTATAGCTGCATAACTATGTCTTGCCTGCAGGCACAATTCAGAACACTGTTAAAGCAATATAAAGTCTCTGTCAAGCTGAACCATTTGGATCAGTAGCAAGGAGAAATAATAATAAAAAAGGAGTTCATTTCTGGGCCTTGTGCATTTATGCTAGTATGCAGAAACTGATTAATTGTCATCGTGTGCTGGTCTGCTATACCTCGGATTTCTACTTCTGGAGTAGATTTTGCATGCTAATATAATCATTCTCCCTCTTGAGACATTAGCAAATAATCAAATGAAAAACAGGATCATAATTTACTGAGATTCGGGCAATTCTCTATGCAAATTTGACTTGTTATTGCTGCTGCCTCGTTAATCTGAATGCCTTTGACAAACTCCTTTGATTTATGAACTCATGACAACTCCAATGTGTATATATTTTGCTAGATTGACATTATCATTAAGAGTGGGTGGACTGAGCTCACATGAATGGCTGATTTTATTCGCTGGTGTCTGCTGCTCAACAGCTGAGCATCTCCTTCTCACAAAGCCCCTGAGCGCCAGGCTCTTCCCATCTACCCATCCATTCATCATCTCGATGTTAATTGGCCCAGGCTTTAAGCAAATTTTCAACACGATTTAAAGGCACGATGACACTGATTACTGACCCTCTGCCATACGGTGCCTATTGATTAACCTGACAGAGATGATGAGCTTGAGGGAAACTAGGTGTGTGTGGACCTCGGGGAGGGGGAAAAAAATAATATATTGTTTATGCAGGCAAAACACTTGTCTTTATCCCAAAGGCCAGAATTTGTGCTGCACTGGCCCTTAAAACACACTATTGCTTTAAACACCTGCATCCAATATAGAAAATGCTTGCTTGCTTGCTGTGGAAAAATGATTACAAATTTGATGTCATGTGCAGTCTGTATTTTAATCGAGTTCCCTGATAAATAGACCCCCTCAAGCCAATCAAGTCTCGCTCCAGCCATTGCGTGCGTATACATCAGTTCGAACAGAAGCCTGGGCAGGGTGTGCTTTTACTGGT